TCCTGCATGGGATTCCAGGACAGAATAGGTCCCCAGTACACCATCCTGCATGGGATTCCAGAACAGAATAGGTCCCCAGTACACCATCCTGCATGGGATTCCAGGACAGAATAGGTCCCCAGTGCACCATCCTGCATGGGATTCCAGGACAGAATAGGTCCCCAGTACACCATCCTGCATGGGATTCCAGAACAGAATAGGTCCCCAGTACACCATCCTGCATAGGATTCCAGAACAGAATAGGTCCCCAGTACACCATCCTGCATGGGATTCCAGGACAGAATCGGTCCCCAGTACACCATCCTGCATGGGATTCCAGAACAGAATAGGTCCCCAGTACACCATCCTGCATGGGATTCCAGAACAGAATAGGTCCCCAGTACACCATCCTGCATGGGATTCCAGAACAGAATAGGCCGCCAGTACACCATCCTGCATGGGATTCAAGAACAGAATAGGTCCCCAGTACACCATCCTGCATGGGATTCCAGGACAGAATAGGTCCCCAGGACAGAATAGGTCCCCAGTACACCATCCTGCATGGGATTCCAGGACAGAATAGGTCCCCAGTACACCATCCTGCATGGGATTCCAGAACAGAATAGGTCCCCAGTACACCATCCTGCATGGGATTCCAGAACAGAATAGGTCCCCAGTACACCATCCTGCATGGGATTCCAGAACAGAATAGGTCCCCAGTACACCATCCTGCATGGGATTCCAGGACAGAATAGGTCCCCAGTGCACCATCCTGCATGGGATTCCAGGACAGAATAGGTCCCCAGTACACCATCCTGCATGGGATTCCAGAACAGAATAGGTCCCCAGTGCACCATCCTGCATGGGATTCCAGGACAGAATAGGTCCCCAGTACACCATCCTGCATGGGATTCCAGAACAGAATAGGTCCCCAGTACACCATCCTGCATGGGATTCCAGGACAGAATAGGTCCCCAGTGCACCATCCTGCATGGGATTCCAGGACAGAATAGGTCCCCAGTACACCATCCTGCATGGGATTCCAGAACAGAATAGGTCCCCAGTACACTATCCTGCATGGGATTCCAGAACAGAATAGGTCCCCAGTACACCATCCTGCATGGGATTCCAGGACAGAATCGGTCCCCAGTACACCATCCTGCATGGGATTCCAGAACAGAATAGGTCCCCAGTACACCATCCTGCATGGGATTCCAGAACAGAATAGGTCCCCAGTACACCATCCTGCATGGGATTCCAGAACAGAATAGGCCGCCAGTACACCATCCTGCATGGGATTCAAGAACAGAATAGGTCCCCAGTACACCATCCTGCATGGGATTCCAGGACAGAATAGGTCCCCAGGACAGAATAGGTCCCCAGTACACCATCCTGCATGGGATTCCAGGACAGAATAGGTCCCCAGTACACCATCCTGCATGGGATTCCAGAACAGAATAGGTCCCCAGTATACCATCCTGCATGGGATTCCAGGACAGAATAGGTCCCCAGTACACCATCCTGCATGGGATTCCAGGACAGAATAGGTCCCAAGTACACCATCCTGCATGAGATTCCAGAACAGAATAGGTCCCCAGTACACCATCCTGCATGGGATTCCAGAACAGAATAGGTCCCCAGTGCACCATCCTGCATGGGATTCCAGAACAGAATAGGTCCCCAGTACACCATCCTGCATGGGATTCCAGAACAGAATAGGTCCCCAGTACACCATCCTGCATGGGATTCCAGAACAGAATAGGTCCCCAGTGCACCTTCCTGCATGGGATTCCAGAACAGAATAGGTCCCCAGTACACCATCCTGCATGGGATTTCAGAACAGAATAGGTCCCCAGTACACCATCCTGCATGGGATTCCAGTACAGAATAGGTCCCCAGTACACCATCCTGCATGGGATTCCAGAACAGAATAGGTCCCCAGTACACCATCCTGCATGGGATTCCAGAACAGAATAGGTCCCCAGTACACCATCCTGCATGGGATTCCAGGACAGAATAGGTCCCCAGTACACCATCCTGCATGGGATTCCAGAACAGAATAGGTCCCCAGTACACCATCCTGCATGGGATTCCAGAACAGAATAGGTCCCCAGTATCCTGCATTGGATTTCACAGCAGAATAGTTTGACGTTTTAATAAATAATTTTAAGATTTGGTTGTTTGGCCATGGCTTTGTTTGGGTAATGTGTCCCAAGCTCCATCGTTGACTTCACTTCACAATTTACAGATCATTGAATATTACTGACTCTGGCATAAAACAACATCGCTTCATTATGCATGCCCACCAAGTGGCAATGTGCTCAATCAGCTGCGAAACACAATTGATTATTTATTTACAATTCCTCTTGGACGTAATCCAGATCTGTGTTTGTGTTTCCTGCTCCATCCTCCACGTCATCGTCCAGTGGGTGGAGCATCCTCCAAGTGGGATCAGCATCTCACTGTACACAATGTGGAGGAGGTCACCTGCCCCTACTGGAGATATTGACTTAATCATTGTCTGCTGGAGTCCTATTGTTTATAGTGGGCCTGGATAATTGTCTGTAAATGCTACATGGTATTTCAATTAGCGTATCAGGCTGTTTAGGAGGATAATAAAAGGGCAGTGTTTAATTTCCTGGAATGTACCTGAGAATTACTTCAGTGCTGTAGATCCCATGGTGTTGATGTTATTGAGATCAGATGATGTTGATGTTATGGATTAAAGATTAAACACTCCTAGGGAATTATGGGTCGTAATCCCCACACGGGAGTTATAGCACCTGAATACCTCAGTGGTCTGTACATACAGGCAGGGGAAGAATCCAGGATTTCACACCATGGGAATAATGCCGCTTCATGATGCCTTCAAGTTTTTATTCGTTATTCAGGACAGTTGTAGGCCACTAGCCCATGGTACATTATCGGGTACAGTCATTTTAGTCACATTCTGTAAACTGGAATAATAAATATAGGATTTTAACATGAAATATGAGAGGAAAGATTCTGCTTAAATAGTCAGGGTGGCTCCGGGTACTCGAGCACCTATGACCCTACCCTACCCTGATACCATCTGTAGGTCTCAAGAGTTGGGTACAAAATGTCTGATTGGGAATTGTTTTATTGGAGCCCTGGCAAAAACTATTTAGATACACATAAACCAATCTGATCATGCATACTCGTAAGTTGACTTAAGCTTTATTTTTACTCGAACTTAAAAAGTCAGAAGGAATGCGTACATAATCTGAAAAAAATACGAACATTAGCAAATTATAGCGTAAGTGTTTATATTGTCATTAAACAATATATCATGTGACTAACAGTGGGTCCAGGTAGTTGTGTGGGTACATAGGTCCTACTCGGGATGCACCAAACACAAGTTACCGAGTTACCCAAGTTACCCGTTCCAGCCCTATTAAAGAGTATGTCCTTATATAAATGTTAGGTCCTTTCCTCAAAGATGTGAATAGCTCCAAACTTTGGATGCTGCACAAAGCAAACATTCACCCTCACAAAGAGCAACCTTAGTGCAGCATACCCCTCTAGAATAGTGACTGCCATCGTGGCCTAGTGGTAGAGCGTCCGCCCAGAGAGTGGAAGGTCTGGGGTTCGATCTCCTGCTGCGTCGTACCAAAAGACATTTAGAGAGAGATGGTACTTGTTGTTACCCTGTCTGGCGCTTGGGATTATGGGGCTAAAACAAGGACTGGTTGGCTCGGAGTCAGTATGCTGTGTCTGAGTGGGGTGTTCATGTTAAAATGTGGCATGGTATATCAGTGGGCTAGATTAATAAACTTTAAATCGGCATCAGTCCGGACTAGTACAGGCAGCCACACATCCACACTAGTGTGAATGCACGTCGCTATATAAGTGCAATAAACTTGGACGGGACGTTAAACCCCATTTCACCTCACCTCACCTCACCTCATCTCTAGTTTAGCACAGATGTTGGTATCTTTTGGAACTTTCTCCATAAGCAAGTTATCTTGTCATATTCCCTCCCAGACAAAGTAGCGTATGATTGTCAGTTCAAGGGTACTGTTGAATGTCTTTCAATGATGCTACCATCACATTTGCATTTGTTTTGTCAACTCATGATGTCCACTCATTGGGATCTTCATTTTCTCTGGCTAGTGTGGAAAATAGGGACTACAGCTGCTGTTATCTTGGTGTTATCCGACAAACATTGTAGTTATCGGTATTTGTCTCTCATCATGATGGACAAATAGTGCCACAGCATTTCTCTCTCAGAAAGATGTGAATATGTCAGCCACTGTTGGTTCTCCACATCACTGCTGTGTTTTCCCCATTGAAGGGCCTGGACAGTCCTATACAGATGTTAAACCTTCCTTATATAGACACTTTTGTCTGATCAGGAAGTGATTTTTGAAGAAATAGTTTATGGATCCATCTAACCTTAAAGAGTAAAAAAGTGACAAAAAATGGTTAAAACCAAAGAAATTGTGCCTCAAATGCTGTAAAATTCAAGGCAAATTTACCAATATGTTATTTATCTGATGAAGGAGCAAGAAGTAGCTCTGAAACGTTGTGACAAAGAATAAAAGAAGTTGCTTTCTATAAAATGTTACCACTTCATATCAATGATAGACAGAGACAGTCGGGTAGCCTAGTGGTTAAAGCATTCGCTCATCACGTCGAAGACCCGGGTTCGATACCGGACATGTGTACAATGTGTGAAGCCCATTTCTTGTGGCCCCCGCCGTGATATTGCTAGAATATTGCTAAAAGTGGCGCAAAACCATACTCACTTACTCACTCAATGATAGGCGAACTTACATAATGTCATTAGAACATTCCATACACAAAAGTTCAAGTTGTGCAGTGGTAACAAAATCTTACCAGCATACATGCTAAAGGCTTGATTTGGTAGTGTAGATGTGTTTAAATGTCTTTGGAGACTATTGACATCCATTATCATGAGGTAACAGTGGTTGCTAGGGGTAAAAACCCCTCTGTCCCTCACTCACACACTAACTCAATGAATCCATGTTGTGTTTCAGACCTATGTGGGGAGTATCCTGGTCGCGGTCAACCCTTACCGGATGTTCAGCATCTATGGCTTGGACATGGTCAAGAAGTACGAAGGACAAGCTCTCGGAGCCCTCCCACCGTGAGTATAAACTTTACTACAATAACCATGGTAACATACTATCATCACCGATCCTGAATTACTCCCTGCCATGAGATATGAGACAACATACCAAGTCTTGGCGTCAGTATCCCCTTCACATATCGCAGCACGACAGGGTCTTAAGTCCTCCAGCTGGTACAAGATGAGAATAGGGACCCACTGAGTATAGTCCATTTTTGACCATGTTGGCCTGGTTTGATGTCACACCCAAGCAACACAGGCTGTCAATATCAAACAGCAGTTACACTTCTCTGGATACTCCTCAGGGAGTTGAGAGTGGATACTGTGTGAGCACTCATCTGTTGAATGGGCTGATAATTCTATGCATGATTAACATGCATTGTGTGGAAATAGCTTTGAATATCTTATTAATATAATATAATATAATATAATATAATATAATATAATATAATATAATATAATATAATATAATATAATATAATATAATATAATATAATATAATATATAGATGACATATCACTTAAGAGAGTGTTAGACACGTTGACTGGCGGAGAATGTTGGTCATGAATCAAGTGCCTGTCACATTGGACCCCTACCCTAGCCTTTATAGCAGTTTTATTTCCTAGTAGTATTCCCATAAGTCTAACAGATAATAAACTGTCATTGGCTTTGCATCATAAATATTGTTATAGAGCTCATTATTTTGTATTGTGCCTATTATATAGTGGATACAGTATCCAAATTGAGAATGAACAGGCATATATATTTCTGATCTAAAATCTATCTATCAAGGAAGTTCCTACATTCAAATACTATCATACCAAGATCTCAAAGAGTCCAGGACCCTCTTAATGTCTAGCACTGTTGGGGGTGGGGTTAAAGTGGTAGCTCATCATGCCGAATGCCTGGTTTGGATTCCCAACATGGGCACAATGTGTGCCGATATTGGGTGTCCCCTGCGTGCTATTGCAGGAATATTGCTAAAAACAGCATAAAACCATAGTCACTCACTCACTCACTCTAAGGGGGCACGGGTGGCCCAGTCGTCTAAGGCGCCGCGATTTGCTGTGCAGAGTTGCGTCCCTTGGGCACGCCAGAAACCTATGATTGTGGGTTCGAATCCAAGTTCGCCCCGATTATGTTTCTAGGTTTGTCAGCACCATACCTGTGCTCGTGGGTTTCACCGAAGTGATAAACGTCTTGGACCTACATCACTTCAGGCTTTCCTCCCACACTAAGCTGACACGCCGCGATATAACTGGAATACTGTTAAAAGCGGCGTTAAACCCAACTCACTCACTCACTCACTCTAAAACTAGGATACATGAAGCCCATGAAGAAAATTGGTTTGGCTGCAGCAAAGATTTTTTTTGAAACAGGCAACAATTGAGCTACAGTACCTCGGTCGCAAAGCCAATGATAGTTGGTTTAGTGTAGACAGTGAGAACTTGTCACCATTTCGTCAAAGAAAACGGAGAACGTCAAATCTGCAACTTTTTAAATTCCATCAAAAATGTCATTGCCTCTTAATGTTTGCTGGAGAATTTGTGTAATGTGTAAGACGAGGGACATCAGTGGTAGAGACATGTTGGGAAATACCGCAACAATGCAGGACGAGACCAGCCAAACTGAAACAGTAACTGTTGATGAGCAACAAACGCTGGGAGATTAACTGTGTTGTGCGAACATTGCTAAATAACACGCGTGCCACAAGGAGGCATTGAAACCAGTTTACACTTCCAAATGTTGAACAAATTTACACTTACAAACAAGTTCAAGTGAAGTTGGTTATGTTTGTTTGCATGGATGGGGCAAGTTTAACCTAACAATCCGTCCTCTCACTTGCTGATGTTGTCCGTGAGATTACGGAGAGACATGTAGCAAATACGCCATTAGCAAGTTCAGTTTTTACCTCCTTCTGCCATCTTTCTGTCCTCCATTTCAGGAGAGCTCGGGACGCCTCTCTTTGACCAGGCTGAGTCAAGGGTTAAATCAAATTAAAGTTGCAGGCAGTCTATAGATTTCGTCCCAAAAGCTTAGACCTAGTTGGGAGGGAAATATTATGTCAGACTCTTTGCTTTCTTTTGCTGTATACTTTAGTTAAAAAACTCTCCAAAAGAAAACTTTCTAAGACCCCGTTGATACATACGCCATGTATTGACGTGTCAGGCTGACATCTTACAACAAATACATTAAGACGTTTAATCATAAAAAAATATATTTGTTTTTGTTTCTTTGTCAATTGTTTGAAACTTATACAACTTTACCTTAATTTGTAGCTTAATGGTTGAGTAAGAATATAATTAATAAGAAAATACTATTGACTGAATTTAACTTTTGTTAAGTTTAATTGGTTCAATTCACTGATTTCTCACTACAATCACAATATGTTCACAATGTTTAAATTCCCTGGGAATCTGGGATCAGGGTAATTCATTGTGCCTCCAGCTTGATATGTGTTTGTTTGTTTGTTGTTTAACGCCACACTCAGCCATATTCCAGCTTTATGACATCAGTCAGTAAATAATCAAGTCTGGACCAGACAATCCAGTGATTGACATTATGAGCATCAATCCACGCAATTGAGATACGATGACATGCATCAACCAAGTCAGCAAGCCTCACCACCCAATCCCGTTAGTCGCCTCTTACGACAGGCATAGTCGCCTATTACGGCAAGCATGGGTTGCTGAAGACCTATTCTACCCCGGATCTTCACGGGCAGTGATGTAAAAGTGTGGATCAGAGGGCTACAATGGCTGCTCAGGATGGACTGTGTTAATGAGTTATGATCAGAGATGACAACGCATTCAGTCTGTCATTACCCCCTCAACTGAGACCTATGCTATCATGATCAAGTCGGGTTGTGATCTGCAGGGTGTCATAGAATATCACTGATCAGGAATTTATCAAAGATTTCAGTGCAGGCAGATTGGGAAAAGTCATATTTATGTTCAAAGTTCTTATTTCCTAAATTCAGAGGTATTTTAATATTGAATTTTAATATTATATTTGATGCAATAACGTTAAGCTAAGCATTAAGGCCTCTTCCACTTTATTGGTCCTGTTATCTGTGAAATACAAGTCACCTAAGGCCATAACATTAGTTAGCACTATAACAGCAGGAACTGGGAAATATTTAATTCCAATTTAGGACTTATTTCTCACAATTGCTGTAGACTTGGGGCCGAATATCAGGTCGAGATAAATCCATGATATATAAACCCATTGACTAAGATTTTTGACTATCTGAAATGCGTGATATTGAGTCCATATGCACTATGTTTCAGGCACCTGTTTGCTGTGGGCAGCACGTCCTACTGTAAGATGATCAAGGACAGTGAAAACCAGGTCATTGTCATCAGGTAAGGTGATCCGTAGTCACAGTCAATACTCAAATAACATGCCAAGACCCACATCAAACATATTTTATTCCTATGAATACAAAACCTCTATTACACCATTGCCATGAATCCTGTATTGCAGCTGTCGTCAAACTATAGAAACATTCAGAGTTTCAACAGACGTCCCCTGCACTGTCAACTATCCATAATTATTTGTGCTAGTAATAGTATCTTGCTACCCAAGCCTGTGCATGAGAAAACCTCACTCCTTTCCTGAGTGTGCTTGTGTCGACGTCTTCAAGTTGTCAGAGTTGTCGGAGAACATGATTTGGTAGTTGTCAAACATATTCATTTAAAGAGACAAATCATTCAATGAATAAGCTCATGTACATTTTTATGGATTATTGGACCACCTCCGTAGTCTCGTGGTAGAGCGTCCGCCCGGAGAGCGGAAGGTCCGGGGTTCGATTCCCGGCCGCGTCATACCAAAAGACATAAAAGATGGTACTTGTTGTTACCCCGTCTGGCGCTTGGCATAAAGGGGCTAAAACAAGGACTGGTCGGCTCGGAGTCAGTATACTGTGTCTGAGTTGGGTATTCATGTTAAACTGCGGCATGGGATATCAGTGAGCTAGCACCGGACTAGCTATACACACACACACGCACACGCACACGCACACACACACACACACACACTTTAGTGATATTTCGATGTAGATTCTTTTGCTGTTATCTATAGCATGCTCTTTAAATAGAATTAGCCAATCCAAAACTACAATCCAAACAACATAATGCTAAACTGAAAAATTGTTGAGTACACAAAAAGAAATTCAGTTTCCCCATATTAACCCACTTGAAAAAATCTATAAACTATTAAATGCATGAAGTTGAGTCAATGAAGATGTGTTAGACTGAGTAAAGTTCCCCACCCTATTCCCCTAAGAAGTCTCACGTTACAGCACTGGGTATTCAGGGTGTGTCCGACAATATGATTGAAATAAACTGGTGAAATTCAAACGGGTGCTAATCAGCTTATGGGTCTTGGTTCCCCACTGTGCATGTCGAGAACAACAGATGCTGGAGAGTACACAACACAGGAGAGGTGTGTCAACACGCCGCCACGGCTACACCCTGGCAACATTGGTGCCAGAGAGAGGCTGGCTAACTCCTATGTGGGTTGTTAGGAGAAATTATAAAGGCTGACATTTCACTGCAAACATCAACTCCTGATAACATGTTTTCCCGTAGCTTGAGAAGCTCCAACTATTTCTCATGTCATGGCTACAAATATTTGGTTTTCTTGTCTTTCTTTGGCGCTTAAAGTTTAACTAACTTTTTATCTTGATTCAAACAGTTTATTAATATTTACATGACCATGTAATCAACAGATGGATGTTTTGTGTCGTTGCCTTACATTTGTGAAACTCTACCTCTTCTTTCAACCTGTGCGCTCGGTATTAAGTGGCTAAAACAAAGACTGGTCGGCTCGGAGTCAGTATACTGTGAGTTGGGTATTCATGTTAAACTGCGGCATGGTATCTCAGTGGGCTAGCACTATAAATCGGCATCAGTCAGGACTAGTACAAGCAGCCACACACACACATGGCATGCACATCGCTGTATAAGAAGTGCAATAATCTTGGATGCGACGTTAAACCCAGTTTCACCTCACATATCCTTATAGTTTTGCATCACGCTATGTTCTTCCTGATCTGGGAAGACTTGTTGAGCCAGTTTGCTTGAAATCTGAAAAAATTCAAAATAACGTAAATTGTGTCACACCCTCAAGCATGAGGTAGTTACATGCATGTGACCTTGTTTGTATCTGGGATGGATGGAGGCTTCCCTCCAGGGATGTTGGGGATGTTAACCCTATTTTGTTAGCTAATGCATTCAGGGGTGAAAAACATTAACATGCAGATTTTATAGCCTTGAAAGTAGAGAGAAACATGGATAGTTTCAACCTGGTGTTGCCCCAACAATGTCATGCATGGTTATATGCCCTGTGGTGAAACCTGTCCCCCAGGGGTGGGGTGGTGGAAGGGTGGGGGTCTGTTAAGGGAGCATGAGTGGGCACATTGTTAGACTACTTTATACTAGGATTTTGAAAATGGGAACTGGGGGGTTGGGGGTGCACAGGTTGACCCTTAATGTGTCTGGAAAACTGCCCTGAACCCAAGCTCTGGATCCATTAGTATTATAGGGTAGGGAGATGGGTGGTGTGTTTGGGAGATGGGTGGTGTGTTTGAGAGATGGGTGGTGTGTTTGGGAGATGGATGATGTGTTTGAAAGATGGGTGGTGTGTTTGGGAGATGGATGCTGTGTTTGAGAGATGGGTGGTGTGTTCGTCCGATAGGACTTGAAAAGTTCACATAAATAGGCAACTAGTGTTGGGAGGCAGTCGACAAAGATCCAGCTATCCTACCTCAAGACCTACATAAGATGATACACACTGATGGTTGTGGAGATGACTTAATGAAGGGATCCCTGGTGTGTGTTGGGAATAGTGAGTGGAAGGCTATGAACTGCTGTGGAATGTCTGAGTGGCGGGAGGCAATGTGATTAGAGTTGAGGGTGCGTGGGGGCCAGGTTTACTTTCCTGGGCTTGAGATGTAAGACATTACGCAATTAAAGGATTAGGGGATTTGGAGTTTTATTATCACCCAGACAAAGACTAACAGATGGTATATAGGTCATATCACTCCAGTACACAGGAACATACAAGAATGATCACTGATATACGGGAACTGTTTATGCTTGATGGCGCTTCTAAAGGGTTCCCACCATGCAACGTGTATATTTATTTTGGGCAAGGATCAAATGTTGTGTCATGAATTAACAAACAACACAAGCAGGAAGTGTAGTGGAGATCATCATACTCCAGGGAGTTCTTCAAGGAAAGGGAGATAACTCCTGTCTTGAGTGAATAGTGTGGTATAAAGAGTAAACGATCCCCTCATAATAGAGGGATTAGATTCTGTATGAATGGTGTGAGCCTGTCCACTGGTCAAGCAGGTTTACTTTCACTGAGCAGGTGGACATGAATTAGGTCAAATCAGTATATCGACTATCGTGTATGTGTACGTTTCAATGATTTGTAATAAATATTAATATGTATGCTTGATTGACAAACACTTAATTATGACCACATTATTCTAGAACATCCAAACTGGATTATGCTATGGATCAATATTGACGTTGAACCAAAACAATGTAGTGTGTGATGAGGGCTGTGTAGAACATGTTAAAACAATCAACTCATTAGAGAGCCTCTGTTTTAATCATCTTTATGAATATTAATTATAAATAATTTAATTATATCTGTTTTGTTTACATATATTTACAGATCATCACTAATATTTGCATTGTAATTTGTAAAAACTGAAAAAGAAAATATAAAATTATATTTGATGACAAGAATCAGTGCTGTTTATATCATAATTTAAATTGTTTATTTAATTGTTTAATTGTTTATTCATTTGTTTGTAAATTCAAAATAGCAAAAGGAATCAGAGAATGCCTACAAGAAATATCCTCCAAGTGAATGCATAGGGGAAAAAATACAAAGTTCATCCTAATTGGACAATTAGAGATTGACATGACCAATATACAACAGCGGAAAAAAACCAACAATGTATAAAAAAATATTTGTCTTATTATTTTGCCTGCCATGCTCATGATCAGCTGTGTTCTATAATGCATGTGGGAAGATGGTGATGTATGGACTACCTCCCTGCTGTGACACGGTATGGGAAGGATGGAGTTAAGCGTGCTATGGTTCACTTGTTGTCATGGTTGATTGTGTGGCATTGTGTGGCATCGTTTCATTATTCAAAAAAAATCTCTTGAAAATTGTGCAGCCATTGTTTCCGTGTCCTGGGACAGATTCATTGAAAATACCCAGTGATGCGAATCTGTATTTTGGGGTCTTTATTTTCTTATGAAACCACTCATGAACAAGCTTGAGAAAAGCTTGGTAGCATCTATCTCCTGGTGGACAGTTTAGTCTTAACTGTTGTGTCTCTTAACCATATAAGGGGGCACGGGTGGTCCAGTCGTCTAAGGCGCTGCGATTCGCTGTGCAGAGTTGCGTCCCTTGGGCACAAAAGAAACCTATGAATGTGGGTTCGAATCTCTGTTCGCCCCGATTATGTTTCTAGGTTTGTCAGCACCATACCCGTGCTCGTGGGTTTCACCGAAGTGGTAAACGTCTGAGACCTGCATCACTTGGGGCTTTCCTCCCACATAAAGGTGACACGCCGCGATATAACTGGAATATTGTTTAAATGCGGCGTTAAACCCAACTCACTCACTCACTCGCTTAACCATATCAGGATTTCACCAATCATGGGTTTGAATCCCACATGGACCTTGATTATGACCCTTGGTTTGCTTGCACCATACCCATGCCTGTGTGTTGTAGCTAATTCCCCTTGTTAATGAGGATGAAATAGGCTTGTAAATGTTTTCATTTCATATAAATATTGGAATGAAAACCTGGTGTATATCATTATAAACTGCTTGTATTAGGGGAGAGGGAGGTGGTCACCTGTGTTTCAGAAATAACCGACGAGGAGGAGTTGTTTATTGTAAATAGACACTTCGGGGAAAATAAACAATGACCACAAGTAATTTATTTCAACTTTATTTACATCATCCCATTGGATGTTAATAAATTTTACAAGCTTTTAAAGTATTTACCCATATTTAAATGATGATGACTCCCTGAATACAAGCTGACCTCGACAATGTCCATTTTATGAACATGGGGTTTGGTATTTCCTGAATATTCTCACAATTCTCATGGCGATTATTTGTATCTTTTCTCTCAATTCAGATTTGGGGCGGTCGGGTAGCCTAGTGGTTAAAGCGTTCGCTCGTCACGCCGAAGACCCGGGTTCGAGTCCCGACATGGGTACAATGTGTGAAGCCCATTTCTGGTGTCCCCCGCCGTGATATTGCTGGAAAATTGCTAAAAGCGGCGTAAAACCGTACTCACTCACTCACTCACTCAATTCAGATTGCCATATTTCGCCCACTTTTGGAATTGATAGTTTGGCCATAGATTTTTTATGCATTGCCCAGGTACACCTAAGGGGAACAACTCACTACCCTCTCAAAAATAATGTCGTCCAATTTACGATGTGATCGAGTTGCGAGCATATGTTTGAATCCCCAGAAATGAAGTCATGATAGAACAATGTTTTATCGTGAAATAAACCACAACTCATTCTTCATTGTTCTTTGTGATTTATCGTGTAGCTATCTGATGTATAAAACTAGACAGCACCTATTAGGGAGAGCGTCATCCGTATATGATAATAGACACTGCTTGGTACTGGGTTAACATTCTCCAGCCTGGGTAAGGTTGTCATCCACTGACAGATAAGGATGTTGTTTATGACGCCTACTGACTGCAGACAGTAGTGACCCCTATCGGTTCCTTTATGGGGCCCAGAATAGAACCAGTTCCCTGTGGGTGATATCTGGGTTAGTGGGTTGCTGGAATGTCTCATATGGACAGAGTGGACATAGGTCATGCAGGTGACCCAGTCTGATTGGCTGGACAAGTTAGAAGCGAAGTGTCAACTAATGATTTAATTCCCTTCGAAATGCTACCTGAATAATAATCATATTTGCTTTGTAACATGAAACAATGTGCATTTTAAAAGAAGGAAAATATATGGTTAAGTAACTGATATTAATTCCTTTAAAGACTATTGATGAGAACTGTGTACCAGATATGTGACAAGTTAATCAATGTTAGGTAGCGTCGATTACATGATAAATTGGCCTTTGTCTGACAATCTTACTCCAGAATCCATCTTCCAGAGGCGAGGGCATTAACTGACTCAAAGTCTAGTTTCCACCCTTGCCGAACTAGGCTGTGGCTCAGTCGTAGCGCCACCAGTGGCAATTAAGAGTTATGTCCCTTCTATCTCTCTACTGTTGACAAATCAGATTTTACCTTCATATCACAAAACAAAATAGCGGTGCCCAGTCAAGATGATCTGATCGACGAACTAGGCTGTGGCTCAATTGTAGCGCCACCAGTGGCAATTAAGAGTTATGTCCCTTCTATCTCTCTACTATTGACAAATCAGATTTTACCTTCATATCACAAAACAAAATGGCAGTGCCCAGTCAAGACGATCTGATCGACAGTCAAGATCTATAGTGTAGTAAAACGAGGTGTTACCTTGCGAAGTGCATCAAATCACCTGAGCACCTTGACAAAAATATGAGAAGATTTGGAAAATATCTGTCGACGCCAATTTGACAACACACGTGCTTTGCAAATCCTGCAATCGACCGAAATCTGCACGTTGAATCCGGATTTTGATTTGACTATACATAGGCTCGTAAGTCCAGCCAAAATGTAACTCCATAATTGCAGCCTAGTTCCACAAGGGTGGAAACTGGACTTCTATAGTCAGTTAACTCCCTTGCCTCTGGAAGATGTCCAGAATCTGTGTGGAGGAAGTCTGTATTGGACAGATTTTTATTGGACAGATAAATTCATGTTGTAAAAGTTGTAAAAGTTGGAACCATAAATTTGATCTGGTAGCCATGAGTCACTGTATCTGGACTAGCTGTCCATGGGTAATATACATGGAAGGCAGGTTACTGCACACCTCTATCAACCTGGATATGGAACACTCCACCTGTCACTTAAGTATCGGAGTTGTTTACATAGGTCATATAACATTATATACTGCAGGTTTGATATGACACTAGTATGATCATCATAGGTTAGGCCAGAGTTCTTATTAAACTTGGTTTACAAATTAATCTGCCGACTCCCAAAAATTTAAATAAAATGAAAAGCAGTGTTTTTTGTCTTCTAGAAATAAGTAAAATGTAGAAAAAACCTGACCTCATTCATTGTCACTATCAGTATACAATATAAGTTAATTATTAAAAAAACAATAATTCAGCCCTTTGAAAATTTATCTAAAAACTTTCAAAAGGCAACAAATTATGATGAACATTGAGAGGAAATATAAAAAATATTATTTGAAATTGGAATTTATTTATTTTATTTTTTTCGACCTACCAACCTGAATTTTGGGGCCAAACAAAGAAGAAAAATCTGGCCTTGCATTTGTGCAGACAGTGGTATAACACTTAAATATTCACCTCTCAGACTTGATCTGCTCTGGTATGTTATAGCATATGTTCAGGATATATACAGTACATGATACTCCTCCCCTTCTGTGTGTATCATTTTGGGAGGCCAGGTGATTTATAACCCTATGTTGGTTGCCAGGAATCCCAGCAATAAAGATAACAAACTTGGAGAACACTCTAAGCTCAAATTCCTCTGAAAAGAGCTATGTAAATGAGATAATCTAATGCACATCTTCCAAGAAATTAGAAATAAACAAAAGATGATGAACAGTATGATAACAGTTATTGTGACAGATGCTAGACTTACATGAAAATGTATGCTTTTTTTACTGTCAGAAACACCTCTGTATATATAAATTACAGAAATGAAATCCAGTGAGTTTGCTGGGTCCAAAATTCATGAGAACATTTTCATGATTTTACTATATTTTTAGAGAATGTTTATAGGCCATTCATCAAAATTATTATCAAAACCGAAAAAATATCTTTCTGACAGTTTGGATGACAATGAGTCAATGTGTTTGAAAACGAACCAATAAAAAAAAAGCGGGAAATGTCATTTATCAAATTTATGCATCATACTCCGATCTATCATGCCTATTTCAATGAAAAAGTCAATGCAATCAGCAATGATACACTCATACACACAAGACATGTGACTTGCAGCCACAAAATGGAACCATTCCCTACCTCCTATACATCTTTATTGCATGATTGTTTGTATATTACTTCAATATTGTCTCTCTTGTCCTGAGAGTGGAAGGTCCGGGTTCGATCCCCAGGCATGTCATACCTAAAGACTTAAAATATAGTACTTGTTGTTACTCTGTCTGGCGCTCGGCATTAAGGGGCTAAAACAAGGACTGGTCAGCTCAGGAGTCAGTATACTGAGTCTGAGTGGGGTATTCATGTTAAACTGCGGCATGGTATCTCAGTGTGCTGTCACTATAAACTCGGTATTAGTCTGGACTAGTACAAGCAGCCACACACACACACACACACATACACACAAGAGCATGCACACATCACTATAAAAGTGCAAAAATCTTGGACGCGACTTTAAACCCCATTTACTTCATCTCTTATCCAAGGAGCCATAATGACTTAAGACTGGTATTGTGTGACCATATTTGCTGTGAAGCACAAAAATGAATTTAGTAAGAACACTGTATTTGTGAACATACTGTATGTTAAGATATTGTTATCGTTTCAGTGGTGAGAGTGGCGCTGGTAAGACAGAGAGTACCAAGCTGATTATGCAATATCTGGCGGCGGTGAATAAATCCCGTAACAACCTCATCACAGAACAGATCCTGGAGGCAAACCCACTCCTTGAATCCTTTGGTAACGCCAAAACAATACGCAACGATAACTCAAGTCGATTTGGGAAGTACATAGAAGTCTTCTTCAAAGAGTAAGTAATAGATGCAAAAGTATTTTTCACTTCTATAAATTGAGCTGGTACTTGCTCCGAGATGATTTTTTTACTTGAGAAGCTGAAAGACGGGAGTGTTGAGGCCATATTTCGATACTCAGTCAAAACTATTTTAAGTAGTAATGAACTTTGGTTTGTATACTTTGACATTGCAACGTTACTATTTTTAAAAATTAAATTATGACCCATGGATGTGATTAATGTAAACTTAATGGTTTTGAACTGATGAAGGATGAACTTGGGCTGAATCTGTCTTTCAGGTACAATTTGCTAATTTTTGTGAATATTTTGATTGTGTGGAAAAAACTGATGTGTTGCTGAATTATATAAATTTGCCAAATACAGTAAACTACGGTTATAACGAACTCAAAGGGACCACTAATTTTAGTTTGTAAAAAATATTATTTGTTATAAGTGTATATATATACAACATATATACAGCCGATGGCTTGGACCAAAATAACAGTTCGTTATATCCGTCAGTTCGTTAAAGCGTGTTCGTTATAAACCTATTTTACTGAATTGCAATGGTATGTTAAAATTGTATTTTATTGTATGTGTTACATTTGTAAAGTGGACTGAAATTGCACAAATTCTGTTTTTCAGTGGATCAATTGTTGGGGCAAGAACACTTGAATATTTGCTGGAAAAGTCCAGAATTGTCACCCAGGTAGGTTGTAGAACATTGTCCTCAATGAGAACCAAGTTTTGAAATTCATTTATGGTTGTTGTCAGAAAAGATGGCAAATTTTACTTGATATGTATGGTCAGGACTAATATGCCTATTGAATACAACACAAGAATGGGTTAACAACCCAGCGGCACAGAGATTTACCCCCTGACCTGACAGAATAGATTATTTGACACCCTCAGACCCTTTGGTTAACAGACTTTCATGTCTCAATGAATGCTTTGTTTGAGGCTGCCTCCGTCGTCTAGTGGTAGAGCGTCCGCCTGGGAGCAGAAAGTCCGGGGTTTGATCCCCGCCGTGTCATACCAAAAGACGTTAAAAGATGGTACTTGTTGTTACCCTGTCTGGCGCTCGGCATTAAGGGGCTAAAACAAGGACTGGTCGGCTCGGAGTCAGTATACTGTGTCTGAGTGGGGTATTCATGTCATACTGCGGCATGGCAACTCAGTTGGCTAGCACTATAAATCGGCATTAGTCCGGACTAGTACAAGCAGCCACACACGCGTAAATGCATTGCGCTATTTACCGGGTAAGTGCAATAATCTTGGACGCGACGTTAAACCCCATCTCACATCTCCTCACTTTGTTTGATATGTTTGAGACTTGCATACCTTTGACCAAAAAGGACAATGTAAGCTGATAATCATGCTATTTTATTGTGAAAGGTTGATGTTTATAAGTTCTTGCTGTATGTTATCCACCTGTGACTATATATTTGCCTCTTTGACATGACAGCTGATTGAGACAGGCCTGTGTTAGCCTAGGGTAGGGGGTTGTTTTGTCCATGCTTGGGGTCGGTGTTATTAAGGGTGCTACATGTTACCGACATCCACAGCTATACTGCCCACTATCTCCAACATGCTGATTAACATGTTAGCCGTCAGAGTGTGGACCTCTCCTTAATCACATGTGACAGGGCCCTGGAGCTGTGTCAGGCTGTGTATGTTCATGTAACTGCTGGAGACATGGTGAGAGAAGTTCCCCCGACATTAGGTATTGTTCACATCTTGGCGATGTTGACAGGTGCAGGTGTGTTTCATATGCATTTCAAAGGTTAAGGTGATAGTTGGGTAGCTTAGTGGTTAAAGTGTTCACTTGTCACACTGAAGGCCCGAGGTTTGATTCTCCACATGGGTATAATGTGTGAAGCCCAATTCTTGCATCACTCACAAAGATATTGATGGAATATTGCTAATAGTGACACAAATCTCTACTCACTCACTCACTCACATAGAAAAAAAGGATCTTGTATTATAATCGAAATATGAGATGGTATGTTAGTGTATTCAGTATTTATAAGTAACAACAAACCCACTTTAATACATAACAAGACACAAATTATGATGACCCCCCCAAAAACAAAAAAAAACACCCAAAAAACAACAAAAACAAAAACAAAACATGTGACAACATTAATTCATTTAATTGATAACTGCAGAGCATACTGGAAGGTTTTTAACATCTTCTGCTGAAGATACAGTAGAGTAGATTCTTACCAGTAAGAAACTTAAGGAAACAATTGTATTCACACAGACACTTGGTTTTCAACTAAAAGCTGTATGGTATGTCTATCTTATTCTCACTAGGCATCGGAAGAGCGGAACTACCATGTTTTCTACGAGATGCTGGAATCGATGTCAGATGAACAGAAGTCCAAATTTGGCCTTCAGACGGCCCCCAAGTACTTCTACCTCAACCAGGTGAGCGATGCAGCAGCTTCATAATGTACAATAAATATGTCATGAATATACAACATAAGAGGTTTCATTTATATCAGTGATGAGTGGAAAGCCTACTGCCTATATATCATGCTCTGAAGTCTCCACTACCCTGTAGTTGAAGTATTTGCTCATCATGTGGAAGTCCCAGGTTTGATTCCCAAACATTGGTACACTATGTGTGCCTAATCTTGTTGTTCCCTTGTGTTATAGTCCTGGTGGACTAATGCTCTCAGAGGCATACAATTCACTCGCTCACTCGCCCGCCAGCCATCTCGCTCGCTCGCCCGCCAGCTCGCTCACTCACTCACTCACTCACTCACTCACTCACTCACTCACTCACTCACTCACTCACTCACAGACACTCTCTCTCACTCACTCACAGACACTCTTACTCACTCACTCACTCACTCACTCACTCACTCACTCACTCACTCACTCACTCACTCACTCACTTCTAGAGCTGAGATGATGCAAGAGAATGACATATTGCAGAATGTTCCATGACATTGACTCTGTGACATCTTCTCCACACAGGGTGGGAGTTCCGTGCTGCCAGGTCGGGACGATGCCGAGAACTTTCGCAAGTTGCAGTCGGCCATGGACATCCTGAGTTTCCAGAAGCCAGAGAAGGAAACCATCTACAAGATTCTGGCCTCTGTCCTCCATATTGGAAACATCTACTTCCACACACTGCTGGTAAGGAGGAACACTCGGCCATTGTGGGAATCACTGGTCACCTTTAGTACTGAGTAACCAGGCACCTGCTCCAAGCCATCTTGGCACTAGGAGGACCGAAACTCCCATAGACTGACGACATGACTCCAAGATTGCTTTTAAAAATGAGGGCCCGGGGCACCGTTCCACAAAGCGATCTTAGTGCTACGACTATCGTAAGCCAGTGTTAAAGTATGGGAGTTACGATCACCTTAACACTAAGATGGCTTTGTGGAAGATGGCCCTTTGGGACTTTTTTTTAATTCATCTGACCTAATTTATTTGCAAATCTATGTAATGATTACACCAAGGAATAATATTCTTCTTTATTATACACACACAACTGTTCATGTCTACTTCTTGCCCCTTATCAGGTCAATATTCCTTGTCTTAATACCGTATTCGACATAATAAGCGCCCAGGGCGCTCTCAAAATTAGAAGTAGGGGGCTCTTATTAGAATATTATTTTGGTGAAAAACAACAGGGTTAAAAGATGAAATGTTTATATACGACAGATGTATTTTTCCAGAATCTAATTTCCCACAATTAAGGATGCATATAACACAAGTATTATACACGAATAAATAAGTCTTGTATATTGTGTATTGATTAATTGGAAGGGGTGCTAATTGGGATCGTTCACTAGCCAATATAATAGCAAATATCGCCATGGGGGCTTATTAGAGCGGGGCGCTTATTACATCGAATACGGTAATATCAAACTTCTTAATGCCTATATGTAATTATTGAATGTAAAGTGACTGCTTATTATGTGTTGAATCTAGGTTCTGTTAAGTTAATTCTATACAAAGACAACAAATATAAAAAAAAGAGATATATGTACACCAATATTCTTGACCATCACAGAAATTGTCGATGTCTGTGATGTGTGGCTTTTGGAGGCCTTTCTTTCATACAACATTATGAATTGTTGAGTCGTGTTCCAACACAGACCAACAAACTATTAGTCATTCCACTTACCCTGTGTTATCAGTGGAGGAATGCATCAGCAGACAATGTGTGTGTTCAATAAAGTGTAATGGTAATTAGGTCTGTGGGACATAGTATATTCAAAATATTATTCTTTAGAATGGAAACAAAATACAAGATTCCAATCCAGTAACTAGGTCTGTGGGACATAGTATGTTCAAAATATTATTCTTAAGAATGGAAACAAAATACAAGATTCCAATCCAGTAACTAGGTCTGTGGGACATAGTATGTTCAAAATATTATTCTTTAGAATGGAAACAAAATACAAGATTCCAATCCAGTGCTTAGGTTCAACATAATTATCATGCTGATGTTTTTAGGAATATTGGTTTGCTGAATATTTTCATCCATGAATGTGATCTGACCTTGATCCCTTGATCCCTTCAAACTGAGTTTCATTTAGAATTGTAGACACCTTTATACAAGTCTCTCTTTGAAGGTATTGAGATTATGATCAGTATTTGTGTGGAAACATTGAAATGCAGATTGGATGAACAGCTGTGCACCTCTTGGAAACCAGCCTTCCATTCCTCAATTACCTAGTTTGAATGTGATTGTGAATATTCTTCATGAATTAAATTATGTGTGAAATAGTCTAAATTATGTAAAAATATTATTACAGATGAAAAGAATTTCAAATTTAGGGATTGTTATGTTATGATGGAAATGTCAGATCAACCCCCCCTTCTCTTTTGTTTGTTTGTTTGTTGTTTAACGCCGCACTCATCAGTATTCCAGCTATATGATGGCGGTCTGTAAATAATCGAGTCTGGACCAGACAAGCAAGTGACATGTATCAACCAAGTCAGTGAGCATGACCACCGTTAGCCGCCTATTACGACAAGCATAGTCGCCTTTTATGGCAAGCTTGCTGTATGCCTATTCTACCCTGGATCTTCACGGGTCCTCTCTTTTTTGGAAAATAATGTGACATGATTATAGATTCAAATGGCAAACAAATGAAATATACTGTAGGATATTTTGACAAGTGAACATAACATTCACTGAAGGTAACAATGACTCCCAAACCTAAAACTAAAGGTGTGCAAATTGTGAGTGAAATTATCACTCTTAAGGTACACATGAAATTTTTTTGCACAATCTGAAAACACCATTCAGACCCCATGACCATAGGTTCACACACACACACACGCACACACACACACACACACACACACAATCTCACACACACACACACACACACACACACACACACACACACACACACACACACACACACACACACACACACACACACACACACACACACACACACACACACTCACAACAATCCACTTACCCTCCCCAACACCTCCCACACGCTTCTCTGGATCTGCCAGTGATTATGTTACATTCATAGCTCACTACATTGACTCTTAAGTGTGGCATAGTTGCATTTTGGAAGCATCATATGGGAGAACTTTTTATTTCAGATTGATAACCATGACACAGTTCAGCTTGGCAGTGACGCGGAACTCAAGTGGGTGTCCTACCTTCTGGGACTGTCTGAAGACTGGTTAAAACAGGCACTCACCAGCAAAATCACGGTCCGTTCCTAGTTTACTTCTACTTACTGTGTCATGTCTTTTATTCTAAAAGTGAAATGCTACTGGGTAGCTCAGAGCACTTTGACAAAGCATTGTTATGGATAGATTAATGTGACAGTTACCATGCACATCGGACATTTAAAACATTCTACAATTGGAATGATAAAAAAATGACCTATGTTGTTTCAGTTTCAATATTATGTTTCAGCAAGCACGAGGGGAAAGAGTTGTGTCCCCTTACAACATGGACCAAGCACTTGATGCAAGGTGGGTTTCACAAATGTGTTGGGTTTTTTCAAACTAGATGGAAGTAAGTCTTTATACTGAATATTTAAAATATCTGTAATGATTCTCAAAGAAAAATTAAAAGAATAATCATAAAATATTCAGAGTTAACATGTTGTTTTATGGCTTGTATATTTGTGCTTTACAGGGATGCCATATCCAAGGCTCTGTACAGTCGCCTCTTCTCGTGGCTTGTAGAGCGTATCAACCAGATCATATGTAAGGCAGAGAGAGAAAAGTCAACGTCACTAGCTGTTCTTGACATCTTCGGATTTGAGGTAATCCGCTTTCTTACAGTATCTTCCTCTAAAGCAAGCAATATGACTATCTACGATGTGTCATGCATAATTATACTCAGAACTAAGCAAACAGATCTATCAAGCGGTCAAATGAAAGGGAGATCTATGATGAAAATGTGTCTTTCCTGTCATCTTGTTATTGAAGGGATGAATAAGCGTGTCCTTGAACAATCTGTATAGCGATATTTTAATGAGCTTCTCCAAGTCCTTCTCTGACATTACTGTTCTTTCTGCCAGGACTTCCTCCTGAACAGCTTTGAGCAGCTGTGTATCAACTTCGCCAACGAGACGCTGCAGTACTTCTTCAACCAGCACATCTTCCGCCTTGAGCAGAAGGAGTACCAGAAGGAGAAGATCAAGTGGCAGAACATCGACTTCCGTGACAACCAGCCCACCATCGACCTCATCTCGAGCAAACCTGCTGGCATCCTTCACATCCTGGATGATGAGTGCAACTTCCCCCAGGTCAGTAGCTGTGCTATCAGCAGGTGCTTGCTGGCCTACTGGCTATTGAGGCAGAGTGAGTGAATGAGTGCAACTTCCCCCAGGTCAGTAGTCATACTATCAGCAGGTGCTTGCTGGCCTACTGGCTATTGAGGCAGAGTGAGTGAATGAGTGCAACTTCCCCCAGGTCAGTAGTCATACTATCAGCAGGTGCTTGTTGGCCTACTGGCTATTGAGGCAGAGGGAATGAGGGAGTACAACTTTCCCCAGGTCAGTAGCTGTGCTATCAGCAGGTGCTTGCTGGCCTACTGGCTATTGAGGCAGAGGGAATGAGGGAGTACAATTTCCCCCAGGTCAGTAGCCATACTATCGCAGGTGCTTGCTGGCCTACTGGCTATTGAGGCAGAGTGAGTGAGGGAAGGTGTTTCAATTACATGAGACAGCTTGATGTGAAGTCATTGAAATACTTTGATGCACCTAGGAACTTGAGTACGGTGTTGACCTAGTGTCATAATCATGATGAACAAGTGTGATATCAAATTTGTCACCTTTGGTCCATCTGTGGTTCTGAAGGGGAATACTACTGGGCAGCTTGGAGCACTTTGACAGAACATTGTAGTGTATATATTCATGTCATAATTACCACATGCACTTTGGGCATTTACATTAGCAATGTTGTCCAGACACTTGTTGAGGGTTATAGTTTCGCTGCTGTTGTATTTACCTTCTTGTTTCCCTATGTTGTAGTCCACCGACATGTCTTTCCTGGAGAAGTGTCACTTTCACCATGCCCAGAACAGTCTGTATGAGAAGCCGCGCATGTCCGACCCTGAGTTCCACATCACTCACTATGCCGGCAAGATTAAGTACAATGTAAGCTGATTTGTTTGTTTGGTTTGTTTGTTTGTTGTTAAACCACGCACACAGCAGTATTCCTGCTATATGACGGCGGTCTATAAATAATTGAGTCTGGACCTGACAATCCAGTGATTGACATCATGAGCATCAATCCATACAATTGGGATACGATGACATGCATCAACCAAGTCAGCAAGCCTGACCATCCGATCCCGTTAGTCGCCTCTTACGACAAGTATAGTTGCTTTTAATAGCAAGCAAGGGTTGCTGAAGACCTATTCTAACCCGAATCTTCACAGCTGGTGTGTGCTGATCGTAATGCGACACTGTGTATGTTGCTAATAATGCGACACTGTGTATGTTGCTAATAATGCGACACTGTGTATGTTGCTAATAATGCAACACTGTGTATGTTGCTAATAATGCAACACTGTGTATGTTGCTAATAATGTGACACAATGTATGTTGCTAATAATGCAACACTGTGTATGCTGATAGTAATGCGACACTGTGTATGTTGCTAATAATGCAACACTCTTTATGTTGCTAATAATGCAACACTCTGTATGTTGCTAATAATGCGACACTGTGTATGCTGATAGTAATGCAACACGATGTATGTTGCTAATAATGCAACACTGTGTATGCTGATAGTAATGCGACACTGTGTATGTTGCTAATAAGGCAACACTCTGTATGTTGCTAATAATGCGACACTGTCTCTACATCATGCAGGTCCAACACTTCCTGGAGAAGAACAAGGACACACTACGCAGTGATGTGGTGGAGCTCATGTGCGAGAGCAAGAACAAGGTAAACACTTATATCTTTTCTCCAGTCATAAAGTCTCTGTGCTAGCAAGTGTCACTGTGTACCAAAATAACATTCAAATGACCTGTGTTGTTCACCATGACTGTCTGGGGGATAGGCTTTCATATTACGTGTGTGTCTTTCAGTTGATTGCTCAGATGTTCAAGGAGTTACGAGATCGCCTCCTCACGAAGACCCTCAGTAAGACCACCGGGCGATATGTTACACTCAAACCCCGCACATCAACAGTTGGAGCACGTTTCAACGAGAGCCTCATCTCTCTAATTGACACCATGTCAAGGTAAACTTTCATGATGGTGAATTGACCGATACATTTGATTTGGGAATCAATGTGCTTTTACAATTTGCAGAAATTCTGCTGTTATTTCTCGTTCCAGATAATAAAGATCATAATAATGTGTAAGGATAAGATATATGGATGAACAACTTCTTTATTACAATTAGGAGCGACGTTTTGGTGTAGGTTCTAGCGCCATTATCAAACAAGTGAACCTACACCAAAATGTCGCTCCTAATTGTAATAAAGAAGTTGTTCATCCATATATCTTATCCTTACTTAGTACTCCAACTTCTAAATGCCTCCCAGAGAAGTTTGATAATGTCAATTAGAAACAAAAACAATTTGTCATTGATTTCCAGTTCACAAACAAAAAAGAACATAACGGATGTACAATAATGGCCACGAATGCTTCATGCCAACAAAAGTTTTACAATCATATGGAAATCAAACTCTGTATAACCATTTTTGTGGAGTCATGGTGTAATTTGAATTACATTTCCTTCAGATGTAACCCCTACTTTGTCCGCTGTATCAAGCCGAACGCAACAAAAGCAGCAATGGAGTTTGAGGATCGTGTCGTCATGGAACAGCTTCGTTACAGCGGAATGTTGGAAACCATCCGCATCCGCAAACTTGGATATCCAATCAGGATCAAGTTCATAAATTGCATTGAAAGGTGAATAAAAAAATGTTTTGTTTGATGAGTGAAAATCTATTCAATTTTGTGGCCCAAAATACATGCAGATACAGGGATCAGTGGTCCATAGTGTTCCAATAGATGAGAGGGCTGGTTGTCCTGACTGGTAGCACTGAAAGGGTTAATGTATGTGCTCATGCCATCGACCGCTAGTTTGGTTGCTCCAGACACAATCTTAATTTTATGTGCCAAAGCTTAGTGTAAAACAGCATTTATGCTTGGTGGTGCATGTAAAGATATTATAAGTTGTAGCAGGATCACAAGGGTTAATGGGGTTGTATGTGTTTTATACCATGAGCCGGGGGCGAGTGGTAAAAAACATAACGAGGGACGCATAAAACCCCATGTACCCCTCGTGATGCTGCTACAACACATTTATGTTACCGACATGTTTTAATGTGACACTGTTAAAGAATTCAAACAAACTCAAAATTAATGGAAAACAGCTGTTCGATTGAGCTGAGTTTAACTTGAGCTATGTCACACCGCTTTCTTTGACTTGAGGCATGAGGCTTTTTGCATTGATGCAGGGAATTTTTTTTTTATTTTTCCTCTCCGAAATCCACGTGCAGCTTGATGTGCTCATGGCGGGGTATAAGGGATTAGTTTGGCCGCTGATAAATTTATTTCCCTCCCAGGCGGGATACATCTTAGTTATCAAGATCATGTGGACCAATCAGATCTCATCATTCTGACATGGAGGTATGATAAGATATTCTTTTGGTAATAGATTTGACATAGATGTATTTTATGTATTGCTATATGTCAGGTACCGCTGTCTGATCAAAGAGAAGTACTTTCCCAACCGGCACCTACCGGCTGACGTGTGCACCAAGATTCTGCAATCCCAGGGTGCAGCGTTCTCCCAGCAGTTCCAAGTTGGAACATCCAAGGTTAGCAGCCATCTTGAAAAATGTTTCACAAATCAGTATTCACACTTTAAAATACACATATTCACATATATTAAGTTTTGATGTGTTTTATTAATTTGTTAAGTCACTTCAGCAAGTTAATACATTGCCTGTGTGAGGAAGTGTTAACAAGATGAAGATTTGAGCAATGGAATAGATTAAAGCATGTATCTTTTGGAAAAAAACTTTATGAAATCGATAAAGCATGATATTAAATGTCATTACATAGCTGTGGGCTATATGTAATAGCATAGCCATGGTATTATGAACCTCTAACGTATGTTTAGAGAAACTCAGATTTTACATACTGAGAACAGTTACAAATTATTTATAAGCATTATGTATCACTCTGCACTCGTTTATTTAGGAAGTGCCTTTTGTCCCAGTGCTTAAAAACCATCTTGTATTCTTGCTTGATTGATCATTGTTAACAAGAGTTACTTCCCTTCAACTGCAGCTACTGACCCGTATTGTGCAATAATTGTCTTGTGGGTAATAAAATATAATTTATGTTCATGTTTGAAGTTGATGAATCTGTCATGCTGCATGTCGACTCATGACATCACCATCTGGGATGTGAGCAGACAGGGCAGACATGACACTCCATGCATGGTATAACAGAATATATTCCCACATTGCCTGCGCCTTTGACAGGGTGTCAAATGCATTCTGGGAATATGGACAGTGGCGTCTATTAGGAGTTTTAGTGTCAAACACACAGTGGTTCTCTTATGCTGGAATCATGTTTCAGACGACATCACTTTGTCAGTTTGGGCGTGTTATTTAATTGTGTTACTGAGCGGCTACAGGTGATCAGTGTGTGGAGTGTAACCCCATGAATCAAGGATTGAGTGCAGAGTGCATACTCGTGTGCTTCAGAGGGTTACAGGAAAGATATCGCGGTATTATTATTTTAGGAGATGTGACTATTATGACAGTAGCGACACAAAGTACTTTCAGGTATTTCATGTATTGTCAAGAAGCGTAGCTTGAATCTTGAACTTGGAGAATTGGAAAGATATGTCAACATTACTTCACTGTAAGTTGGACTGACAATATCCCACGAGATGTACAGCCAACAGAGCATTGTGAGCTACCTGAACTCCATTCAGACCATGCTGCATAGTGAGGATGAACAGGATGTGCCTGTGAAGAACATTTCTCCATCAGAAGACAATTTCTCACTTATTTCAACTCTGGATGAGAATTATTCTTTCATACCCCCCTCGGAGGATTTCTACCAATATGCCTCCGCAGACAACAGTATCGCAGATTCCTACCAATATGCCTCTGCAGACAACAGTATTACAGATTCCTACCAATATGCCTCTGCAGACAACAGTATTACAGATTCCTACCAATATGCCTCTGCAGACAACAGTATTGCTCTGTACTCCATGCCGTCTGCTGACGATCTCACTGAGGATTATACCTCCCTCTCGCCACCAGATTATGAGATATACGATGATATGCATGTTTACATGAATCAAAATCAATTGCAGGTGTTCATGAAGGAGACATTTGAGCAGCATCTTGATGCTGAGGCTGCTAAGATCCAGACAGCCGCCGTTATTCACATCCAGACCTTTGTCCGCGCTTGTCTCGCCAGGAAGAAGTTCCTGCGGATGAAGGCATCATCGATGAAGATCCAGAAGATGGTGCGGATGGCAGTCAGAAGGTAAACATTCTAAAAAAAGACACTCTTATTCATCCCTTGACAGATCAAATGATTTGTTTTATGAGTATCTGAAAGTCATTGATTATGTTGTTGGTGTTTTGTTGACCACTTTGCTGTGTAAATGAATGTGATATGGCTGTTCTATGTCCCCCGGCATGCAATATGATGTGTGATGACAGCAGTGTGTGTGTCTTTGTTGACAGTGGTAGTCCCTGGGGACTTGTGCATTCACCAGCCTGAGCAGGCAGCTGCCGTTATTAGAACTTCCGGTCACCATCATCAACTCCTGATTAGATGGCATGACTGCAACATGTGGACTTTGTATGCACAGTTGTTTGCCTTGGACAATCCCTGTGTAATTTGGTCCAATTGTGTGGAAGTAATAATTGGCAGGTTATGACAGTGTAGTTTATATGTTTGTCGGGTCGGGGGCAGGGTGGGTGGTGATGGGATGGAATATGAGGCTATGTGACTGACTGAAGAAAAACAGTAACATACCTTATAGATTAGGGCAGGGATGGGTAGCTTGGGTACCTTGGGTACCTTGGTATAAATTTGGACTTAGTCCCAGCCCTACTGCCCTATTGTATGTATTCAATATCAATTTCATCATTTCAGTAACTGATCATATTGTTCAGTGTGTGTGTGTGTGCGTGTGTGCGTGTGTGCGTGCCTGTGTGTGTGTGTGTGTGTGTGTGTGTGTGTGTGTGTGTGTGTGTGTGTGTGTGTGCGTGCGTGCGTGCGTGCGTGCGTGCGTGCGTGCGTGCGTGCGTGCGTGCGTGCGTGCGTGCGTGCGTGCGTGCGTGCGTGCGTGCGTGCGTGCGTGCGTGCGTGCGTGCGTGCGTGCGTGCGTGCGTGCGTGCGTGTGTGTGTGTGATTGTGTGCGTGTGTGTGTGTGATTGTGTGCGTGTGTGTGCGCGTGTGTGTGTGTGTGTGTGAACCTATGGTCATGGGGTTTGAATCCCAGATCCTGATTATGTTTCGGGGTTTGTCAGCTTAAAACTCACTTTTCACACTGTACTTCATCTGCTTAGTTTTCAACCCAAAGTTAGGATTACTAAATTGAAAAGTTGATGGTAGACCAGAATTCCATGAAACCCATCAGGTCTTGACCCAGATCAAGCACTGAATCATTCACATGGTTGCTCAGGTCCTTCCTCCCTCAATATGCAGACCACTGTGCACCTACCTACAGCTATATTCACATCCACCTTCCTGTACTTCACATGCGTCCCCCCAGGTACATTCTGTAGGCTAGTGTTACTGTAGTCCCTACCAACAGTCTGTAGAGGCTGACCCTTTAGCTGCCCGCTCTGCAGTCTTGTGTCATCTAGCTCATGTTACACTTCCTGGTCCCCCCCAAGAATCACAATAGCTGCCTCACAGTTGGGAGGGAACACCTTCACCAGACAGCATGGATCATCCAAGTCTAGTTCTCAGACAAGTTTATCAAAAAATAGTTTCAGAACTGTTAATTTCTATAATGGACCATACCACACAGTACATAAAGAAATGCTAATTATTCCTTGTGTGAAATATATCGGAAGTGTGTCATATATATCAGAATTGTATCGTATATATCAGAATTGTATCATTTGTATCCTGTGGTGGATCCAGCATGTTTAAAAGGGAAGGTTCCAAAATATCAAAATCCTCTCTCGGATAATTTTACTGCCTACAACATTCTACATTTGGCTTTCAAAAAGGGGGTGTCCGGACCCCCAGGTCCCCCCCCTGGATCCGCCTATGGTATCGGAATTGTATCTTTTTGCAAACTTTTATGGTGCAAAATGGGTTTTAGAATGTCAGTGAGCATTTGTTCAAATAATGGTTTTCATAATTTCAGGTTTTACCTTATTATCGAAGGTATGTCATTGTTCGTGCTGGGAGATGAGGTCAGGTGCTTGAAATGTTGTTGGGCAGGTAGCTAGGACATTGATATGCACCCTCACATATCTTCATCAGATCCCCTTACACCACCAGCAGTACTCTCTGCAGTAGTCTATAATACACACAGCAGCCGTGAAAGTCTTTAGTTACCATTTCAAGGTTACACATTTTAAGCAATTTCTATTGTCAATTCCCAGGTGTGGAGTGGTATGTTCTTGACTTGGTAGTTTTTATAGTAAGATGCACATTGCAGCCTTGTCTGCACCAAGCACCTGTTTATCTAAGTCCAAGTGGGAGTAGGTGTGTTATCAATAGAGCGAGGACTTCGCAACACCTGACTTAGATTTTGGTCATCACAATCAAAGATCCAGGAAATATCTTCGCTATAAGTAAGTTTGCTCTCATTCATTACTGTTATTAGGAGATATTTGAAATATTTCTGTGTGTTCTCGGTGGCTCCTACCTCTGTATCCACATCAGGGCTGGGCTGAGTCCAAATTAACTACCCGGGTACCTGACCACCCTATTACCCGACCCTACTCGGGTACCTACTGCCAGTCTCAAGAGTAGGAACAAAATGTCTGATTGGTAATTGTTTTACCGCAGCCCTGGCTAAAACTATTTAGATACATGTATCAAACAATCAGATCATATGTTCACTGAAGTTGACTGAAGATTTATCTTTACTCAGACATATACAAGTCAGAAGGAATGTGTGCATCTTCAGAAAGAAATGCGAACATTAGCGACTTGTAGTGTAACCAGTGTGGTATAGTGAGTTTTTGTCATTAAACAATATATCATGTGACTAACCACAGGTCCGGGTAGTCCTGTGGATACCCGGGTCCTACTCAGGACCCACCCGACCTGAGTACCCGAGTTACCCATCCCAGCCCTAATCCACATATATGTTACTTTGAGATAATCAAAAAAAAATCTTTATCCACGCTTTTTAATTTAATGTTTTCCTTTGATAAACATTCCCTAGACAAGTTAAGTTGACATGCTGCAGTTATAATCATTTGTTAAAAGTGTCATGACAGCCTGCTTGTGTATGTTTATCAGGTTGTAGTGATATAGATTCCTCAAAGATAAACCACCACCATTGTTTAACACTTCATGCACTGTCTCCGTGTGCTGGCCATGCTGGTGCATGTCCTATAGTGTGCTGGGATGAAAAAGAAGCGTGTTCCTCAGGGGGTGTTCCCCCGGCAGGTATTGTCTAGGGTAATTAAGGTAATCTCCCATGATAAACCACAAACAATGGAGGGATTAAACACAGATTAATTGACTGACTGCCGGCAAGGTGAGGTAGCTCTTATTCCAAATGATTACCATATGAACCATAAAACACATTTCTTTCACGTAATTCTTCAAACACAATTATTTCACATAATTCTTTATTTTCATATACAATTTTATATACATTTACATTTGCACATCATACATTATATCACAACAATAAAATATTACAATCCAACCAGATGGGAGACGGCATCTCCATATTCCATCATTGTCTTGCTTTTATTCTGAAGACAGACTTTCATTTTGACACATGAACTCGTACCACTACCATTCACCTTAAGTTGCGTGAACATGGTTCATATCAGCTATTTAGTAAACGCCTGTCTCTGTGTGACTGCTTATCTGCCGTAATCCGACTAATGCGGATTAGATTTAATTAGACTTAATGAATCCATATAATCTGCCGGCAATGTGAGAACAAACCTTCCTCAGTCCTGCATTTAACCCCAATGCGCCTTTTTATTTTGTAATCAACTGGGAATTAAGTCCATGTGGTGGACAGTGTAAAGAAATCTGTGTTAGTCGTTACAGTTGTCTGAAAGGTTGAACTTGAATAATCATGTGATCACTTACTTATAACTTCCTGATATGAGCTGTTGTGTCCTTCTTCATGTTTTGGGGGCGGTCGGGTAGCCTAGTGGTTAAAGCGGTCGCTCATCATGCCGAGACCTGGGTTCGAATCCCGACATGGGTACAATATGTGAAGCCCATTTCTGGCGTCCCCAGCCGTGATATTGCTGGAATATTGCTAAAAGCGGCGTAAAACCATACTCACTCACTCACTCTTCATGTTTTGTTATTCCTGCATAATTTAATACAAACATAGATATATATTACATGTGTGATCATACATGATTTCTATATTGGTTATATCAGATTTATCATAAACTGTGCAAATTTTGATATTCCTCACAGTTATGCCATTAAACTCTTGGAAATAAAAATAAAATATGACAGCCATCTTCAGAAACAACACTATGGGTGATTGGTTGATCTGGTAGTCGAAATAACAACAAATTACTGCCACCTGCTCCAGCTATCGATCATTCCTTTTCAATATCTGTTAGCATTTATCTCCGATGATCTTTGATCGAATGTGATATGGGCAAATTTGCTGGGTTTATTCTTGGAGGAGGAAAATGCAAAAGGAAATTAAGTTTCGTAGAATTCTTAGAATAGAATATATGTAAAGTATGGAGGTCGCATAAAATGCAAGTCACTAAACTCCTTCTTGTCGTCCTGGTGACAAGTACTCTGTTCATAAAAGAAAATTGTTATATTTCTGATGCACATGTCATCTATATGAACAAAATATGTAAAGTACATCTAAAAATTACTCACAAACATAACAAAATAATGTAGACCTTGTTTCAAAAATCAAATTTAATCAAATTTTTTCTCATGATGGATGTGACAGATGTTTTTTATGAGAAGTGTATATTATTGATGTTAATGATAAACTGAGAGTGCTATTTAAATTATATGTTGATGTTTGCTGCTATAATGAAATTCTCCATGACAGATGCAAACATCTGACTGATACTTAAGGCTAAATGTGGCTGATACCCCTGACAATTTATCACATGTATGCCCCCTACACCCCCACCCACCCCATCCCACCACACCACCACACCACACCACCACACCCTATCATCACCCCTACCCCCCATCACACCCCACCACCACACCCTATCATCACCCCTACCCCCCCATCACACTCCACTACCACACCCTATCATCACCCCTACCCCCCATCACACCCCACCACCACACCCTATCATCACCCCTACCCCCCCATCACACCC